CTGTTCTGTCAAGCGTCCGTGACTGGTCTGATCCTTTCCCTGCTTGGTGTCACCCAATATGGTGGCTCTGGGAGCAGGTAGCTGAGTGTCTTGAATTAGAAAGCAATGGATTTATTGCTTCTACTACAAGTTCCCCTAGCTGTAAGCCTTCCAACCTTCTAAATATTCCTTTATATGTAGTTTAGAGTTTTGGCACCATCCCCTGAGCCTGCTTGATCTGGTATTCTGTGTTCTTGCTGATAGAGATCCTCACTGCTCTTCCACCTGATCTGCCATCTTGTTTGTTCTCTCAGAGAATCTTTTGACATGCATTTTGGTCTTTTCTTTCTTTCCTATCATTATAATGATCTTTTGCATTCTTCATATATGATGTTCTTCATGTCACTCCACAACTCTCTTGGTTTTGTGTCATCAGTGTCTAACGCATCAAGTATGTTCTTGAGATCATCTCCAAATTCAGGTGGGATATATTCAAGGCATATTTTGGCTCTCCTGGACTTGTTTTAATTTTTTTCAGCTTCATCCTGAACCTGCATATGAGCAGTTGATAGTTTGTTCTAGAGTTGGCTCCTGACATTGTTTGACATTTGCTGTTGAGTTTCTCCACTGTCTCTTCCCACCATTTATGTTGCAGAAAAAGGTATTTACAATGAATGTCATTAACCTTTCAAAATTCTATCACAAGCATTGTTTCTATCACTAAGATCATATTTTCCAGCTACTGATCCATTTTATTTCCAATTTTCATATTCCAATCACCAGTAATTATCAAGACATCTTGCTTGCATGTTTGATTAATGTCAGACTATTGGTAGCATTCTTCAATTTCTTCATTAGGGGCTTTAGTGGTTGGTGCATTAATTTGAATAATAGTGGTATTAGCTGGTCTTTCTTATAGGCATATGGATATTATCCTATCACAGACAACATTGAACTTCAAGATAGACTTTGAAATGCTCTTTTTAATGATGAATGGGATGCCATTCCTCTTCAATTTGTTGTTCCTGACAGAGCAAACCATATGACCGTCAGATTCAAAATGGCCAATATCAGTCCATTTCAGTTCACTAATGCCTAGAGTGTGATGCTGTGGGATAAAGCATTGGACTGAAAGGTTGGTTTGGACCACACGGTTGGTGGTTCAAACTCACCAGCCACTCCTTCGAAATGTATACAGAGTCACTATGAGTTGGAACTGACTCAATGATACTTAAAAAACAAACAATCCTAGGGTATCGATCTTTATGTGTTCCATTTTGTTTTTGACAACTTTCAGTTTTCCTAGATTCATACTTCATACATTCCATGTTCTGATTAGTAATAGTTGTTTACAGATATTTTTTCTTCTGATTTTACATTGTGCACCATCAGCAAATGAAGGTTTTGAAAGCTTTGCTCCATCCATGTCATTAAAGTTAACTGTACTTTGAGGAGGCAGCTCTTCCCCAGACATATTTTGAGTATCTTTCAACCTGAGGGGGGGGGCTCATCTTCTGATACTTAACAGCAACAACTATATTAATGCAATTTCTGAGAATCTCTTTTCTGAAACTTTAAATGAGGGCCCAGTGCCTGCCTGGCACATAGTAGGTGTTAGTCTGTGACATCCCCCAGCACTCCAGGACACACAGTTGCCTGTCTCTTTAAAGCTAGACACAAAACCTCAGCAAGCGTGGATTCTTCTGGATTGGATCCATTTCATGGACAGCTGCCAAAGACTGACCTCACTTTATGTTAGTTTTCTGGATACTGTGTTTGACTATGTAGAAAGTTAAATGGTGTAGGATTAGATGTTCTCATTTCTGAACTGTGAACTATTGAAATTGACCAGGAAATGAAGGCTAAATGTTCATCCTCTGGGAAACCGGATTATTTAGTCTCTTTTGCCATCGTTCTTGGATACCACTGACATGCAGCTGTTAAGGCAGCTGTTGAAATGTTTGCCAATTGAAAGGACACTGCCAAGCAGCAAATATTTTTCATAACAACTTTTTACTTTTGCTCAGAACAATAACAGTGGGCTTTTGAGCCCCCGCAGTGTGCTAAACATGACAGATTTACTACTCAGCAGGCCCACAACATGGGTGCTCATTTCCATTTTGAATGTTTGTAAAAAGAACAAACAGGCCCTCAATGGAGTCCTCTGCACAAAACATCACTATAGCTTCATTATTTCTTAGTTGAAACTAAAGCAGACAAACTTGAGAAAATGAAATATCTCTGAAAGGAAAAATGAAAATCTAGAAATGTCAAAGGAAAAAAGATTGAACTATTTTATGTCTCTCTAACTATAGAATGGACTGCTGGAGTGGCGCTATGGGATGAGCACTGGACTGCAAGGTCGGTTTGAACCGCAGGATCGGTGGTTCAAACTCAACCAGCTGCCCCTCAGAAACCCTATACAGAGTCGCTATGAGTCAAAACTGACTTGACAGCACTTAACAACAGCTATAAGATCAGCACTGAACAGTGAATTGTAAGCTCAGAAGTTCAAACCCACCAGTTGTCTCTCAGAGTCACTATGAGTTGGAACTGACTCAACGGCACTTTACAACAACACCAGCAATGTGGCCTACATTCTCCATGTGAGAGATTCAGATATGATTCCCAATCAGAGCCCCTTGTGTGCAGCCTCCACCCCTCTGTGGAGGAGGCTTGCATCTTGCTATAATGCAGAACAGGTCTCGGTGGAACTTCCAGACTAGGATGAACAAGGAAGAAAGGCCTGGCTATCTGCTTACAAAAATCAGACAGTGAAAACCCTATTGAACACAGTGGACTAATCCATAACTAACCATAGGGATGATGTAGGACTGGGCATCATTTTGTTCCTTGTGCATGGAGTTGTCATGATTTGAGGTCTTGTGAAATGGTAGTTAATACCAACAATGTGGCCTAAGAATGACTTTATTCTTATTTGTTCAGGACAGCAAGCAGTAGCCCAACAAACGTTTGGTGGTGTTTCATCCAGGGGGAGACTGCACATACCCCACTGGGTCGGCTGCAGACCATGGGTCTCAGGACTTATGGGTCATGCAGTTAATCTACATTGCTAATTAGAATAAAACATGATGTACTACTTCACAAACAAGGCTGTCAAATAGGTGAAGAGGGGTAGGAATGATCAGTGATTTTTATTGATTGGTAAATTCAATATGCCATATGTTGTTGTTGGTGTTGTTAAGTGCTATTGAGTCATTTCTTACTCATAGCAACTCTGTATAAGGTTTCCAAAGAGTGTCTGGTGACTTTGAACCACTGACCTTGGGGTTCAAACCAACCTTGTGGCTTAGCATTTATCCTCTAATGTCACAACAGGCCTCCAAAGGGCAACAGTAATCTGAATGGGCCAGAAAATGCCGTATGTCGATATTCAAAATTATGAAAACACATCCAGATGTGTAAGTTAAATTTTTTTCCAACCATGCCTTCACAAAAACTTGAGAAATCTTCAAAGTATAGTAGACAGATATTGTACACAGCCATTGTTTGTCCCAGTTGAAGTGATATCAACCAGCAATAACCAAGGTTCATAGCATTTAATGTGTGGTCCCCACAAGCCTTTATAAATTCAGCCGGCATGAGATGGGAAGATGGGGATGCATCCTCATTTAATAAACCCCACATTCAAAGCTGGAGCAGAGACATTTCTTAGGTGAACTGAACTGAGCCTACTTTTTTCTCTACTGTTTACTAAATGGTGATTAAATCATATAAGCAATACCCATCTAGTCTGATTGTTTCTTTACATTGCTAATCCATCCTTTGCCTTTGGGCAAAGACAGAGAAAGCTCTACACACTGGGTAATGGTGATGAGGGAGTAAGCCACCAGCTTTATGCTCTTCTTTTTCAGGAATACAGAAGAACAGCAAATGCAAACCATGGATGAAATTTATAAGATTGCTTCCACAGAAAGGATCCAGCTGTTGGAGAAGGAGCTGGCTGTGCAACTGACTGAACTCAAGTCTGAGATAGAAGAACAGGGGGATTTTCAGGGGAGCGCTACTAGAGTTTATAGGTAAATAAAGAGTGGTGGGGTGAGGTGTGGTTGGCAGATGCTTTAATCCCCATTGTTGTTATGTGCCAGCCAGTTGGTTCCCATAGCGACTCTGTAGAGAGTTTCCAAGGAGCATGTGGTGAGCTTGAACCACCAACTTAGCCATTCAAACTGACTTTGAAATCCAAAATGTTAACCCACAGTGCCACACCAGGGCTCCCTATTATTAGCCCATGGTGGTGGTGGTGTTGTGTGCTGTGGAGTCGGTTCTGCTTCATAGTGACCCTGCATAGGCTATAAATCATTACAGAAGCAGAAAGCCTCACCTTTCTCCTGAAGAGCAGCTGGTAGTTTCAAACTGCTGACCTAGAGGTTAGCAGCCCAACTCATAACCAATACACTATCAGAGCTCCTTTAACACTTCATAATCTTCATCAGCTTCACTTTGAATTTGCATATGAGCAATTGATGGTCTGTTCCACAATCTGCCAGGCCTTATATTGACTGATGATAAGCAAATTCAAACTGAAGCTGAAGAAAATGAAAATAAGTGCGTGAGAGTCAAACTATGACCTAGAATATATTTCATAGGTGTTTAGAGATCATCTGAAGAACAGATTTGATACATTAAACACTAAAGACCAAAGACCAGAAGAGTTGTGGGATAACATCAAGAACATTATACAGGAAGAAAGCAAAAAGTCATTAAGAAGACAAGAAAGAAGGAAAAGTTCAAAATGGATGTCAGAAGA